AAAAATGATTCACAACAAAATTTATGAAAATCCTCCGAAGAAGATTTTATGGTGTTACTCCGTATATTTACCGTTTTTTCAAGAAGAAAAGGATATTACATTTATGTACGGGTTACCCGAATCTGTTCAAGGATGGGATTTGATAATAATTGATGATCTGATGCATGAACTGTCTCCAAAAACAGCATTTTTGTTTACGACAGAATCTCATCACTGTAATGTAAGTGTGATTTTAATAATGCAAAATTTGTTTCCAAAAAATAAGATTATGAGAGATATAAGTTTAAATACACATTATTTGATTTTCTTTAAAAATAATCGTGATGAGAGTCAGGTGAATTGTTTAGGTCGCTAAGCTTTTGTGAAAAAATTTAATTTTGTCATGGATGCATATGAAAAAGCGACAGAAAAAGAATTTGGTTATTTGTTATTAGATTTTTATCCTAAAACAAATAAGAAATTTTCTGTGAGAGATTCTTGTTTTCCCGACGAACGACGTATTTTTTGGATTTACTTACCAATAAAATGAAAAACGTATAGAAAAATTATCATATGCTAGCGCTTTTAGTGGAGACTACTCCTTCCCAACAAATGCAATATTGAAAGAAGTTACTCCCAATCAAGTGAAAGTGTTGTGTGAAATTTGTGATAATTTGCTAAGAGGAAATATACCCACTGATGTTCGTAAATTACGAAAATATAAAAAAATTATCAGGAAATTAAGCGAAAAACGCGTTCCTTTGAATATCAAGAAAAAATTTTTGGTTAATTAATCTGGTAGATTCCTTCCTATTCTACTAGCACCATTATTGTCTATGGCAGGAGGGTTAATTGGTAAAGTAATAGGAAAAAAAATCTAATGGCAAAACAGATGGCCTTAGTTTCTCCTGAATTAATTGCGCATCCTGTCGCTGCGTCATTAATTGCGCATTCTGTCGCTGCAATTAATGACAGTAGATCACCTATAGAGTTTCTTATATCGAGATCAGGTAACCATTATATGGATCTACATTCGATTTATCTATGTGTTCAAGAGAAAATCGTAAAGAAAGATGGATCAAAGTTTGGCTCGGAAGAGAAAGTTACTCCTGTTAATTATTTTTTAAATAGTTTGTTTTCTCAGTGTACTATGTTTTTAAATGACAAACCAGTAATTACGGAGGTTAATTATCCGTATCGTGCTATATTAGATGCCTTGCTATTTAATTCGAAAAAAGTGCAAGAAACTTTTTTATCGAGCACGTTATTTTTTAAAGATACTGCCGGACAAATGGATTCGATAAATCCGTTAAATGAAAATAATACTAACTACGGATTAGTTATAAGATTTAACATCAGCAAAGAAAGTAGAATAATAGATTTAATGGGAGGTCTTTATATTGATTTAGCGAACCAGCCTAAGCTTCTAACGAACAATGTAAACCTAAGAATTAAATTGGAAAGATCTAAAGAAAATTTTGCACTAATGGCGAATAACGACGACTATAAAATTATTATTAAAAACGCTTTGCTGAAAATAAATAAAGTAGACGTTAGTTCGTCAATACAGATAGGGTTTGAAAAAGCATTACAGACTGCTATAATTAAATTACCGTTCTGTAGGACAGATGTTAAAGTCTTTACATTAACTAGCGGGATTCAGTCTACAAGTATATCAAACGTTGTTATCGGTCAACTACCTTATAGAATAACTCTCGGATTAGTTTCTAATTCTGCATTTAATGGAAATGTGAAGCGTAATCCTTTTAATTTTAAAAATTATGATTTAAATTATATATGTTTATCAAAAGACAATCAAATGATTCCTTCTAAACCCTATACTCCGGATTATACCAATAAAATTTATGCAAGAAATTTTATCTCGTTATTTGAAGATACCGGATGTATTCATCATCATAAATCTATAAATATATCGTACGACGAGTACCGAGACGGTTATACTTTATATTGTTTTGATCTTACCCCTGATAAATCAGGCTCCGAGAATCACGTTAGTGTTAACGAGCTGGGAAACATTTCTGTGGAATTAAAGTTTTCGAAGGCGATACCGGAAACCATAAACGTTATTTGTTTGCTAGAATATAATAATACCTTAGAAATCGATCATTCACGAACTGTATTCGTCGATTATTAATGAATACCGTTACGTTGTGGAGATTAGCAGCGAGCGATCCGAAAATAAAAAGAAATTTTGGAGGTGTTTTTGCATCTGACAATCTACCGTTTCGAGTTGGTAATAAACAATCTTTTATAATTAATTTAGATGAAAAAAATAAGCCCGGAAGTCATTGGGTATCGGTATTTTTTACGAAAGATAAAAATTCTTGCATTTATTACGATAGTTATGGATTAAAACCGAGGAAAGCGAGTATCATCAGATTTATAAAACGAAATTCAAAAAAATATTGTTGGAATAATATTATTCATCAAAGTTTGTTTTCCTTAAACTGTGGTTATTTCTGCTTATATTTTTTATATAAAATTAATAGAAATCTATGTTTATCAGAACTGCATGTAACAGATAAATTTTATAACGATGAATTTGTTAAAAATTTTGTTAAAAATAATTTTCATTTATCAAAACCGATTGTAATAACCAATAACCAGTGTTTTAATTCAATAAATAAATCTATTTAAAATATGAAAATTGTGTTTTTATTCACAAAACTTACTATTTATGTTCACTAAATTTCCAGCGTTCAATATTCCTCATTTTCTTCTATTACAAGCTGCTATTTGAACCTCGGGCAGTATTTATACTGATACAGGATTTTTCCTTAATAAACAAGTAATGCATTCACCCTGACCTCACAAAATAGGTAACTGGATTTTTCTCCATTCGACTTGACAGGACATGTTAAGGGATTAGGTTAATCTATCATGGTTTTTTTTTCGGGAAAAAAACGACAATAATCATCTGATTTGGTGCAAATATCGAGCTGTTTTTATATATGAGTTAGGATTAGATATAATACTGATTATATCCAACAGAATTTTGTACTTTTCAATACTTAAAATATAAAAAAGTTTTATTTAATACATACCTGTTTTCGAGGAAGAATTCTTATCCTCAGATGTAATGGTAACAGAGAGCAACATAAGTTTTTTTATTATCTAGAGATTATATACGATTTAAGTTTTAAAAAAAACGATTTGTTCTTAAAGAAAAATATGATTTTGTGATTGATATTGGCAGGAAAATTATGGTAAATATATATTTAAAAAAACGAATTATTGGACAGCGTTTTTTTAAGAAAAATCTATTTCGTTAATTTTATTGATCTCTGTAGATAATATACAACTTGATAGTTTTTTTAGAAAAATATGATTGGTTTTTATAAGATTTAACTTTTTTTATCTGCTTACTTTTCTCAGTCGTTAGATCCAAAATCAAATCTTGTCTTTTTGTTTTCACCACTTCTTTTGCTTATCAAAATCAAATTGTACAATTAGTTTAATTTTATTTAGGTTTTCATTATATCATCAATGATGTTACTAATATTGTGAGTATAGAGAAACAAAACTGTCATAATATTTTTTTTTTTCTTAAAATCAAAAATCAAATTCTACAATTAGTTTAATTTTATTTACGTTTTCATAATATCATCAATGATGTTACTAATGTCATGAGTATATAGAAACAAAAACTGTCATAATATAATTTTTAACAGAATTATTAGGCAAAAACATCTGCGAAAAAACAGCTGTCCCCTAGTTCGAAGACACAGCTGGGGAAAAAAACAGCTGTACCCCAGTTAAAAGACAAAAACAGGTGTGCCCTTGTACCCAGTTCGAAGACAAAAAGCACAGCTGTCCCTAGTTCAAAGACACAGCTGGAAAAAACAGGTGTGGTCATAGTACCCCGGTTAGCCCTCTTAGACGCGCCACCTATTTTGACTTTGGTGCAAAAACCGGTCTCTGGTGCTCACCGGGATGAAAATATGCCAGCGTTTTTTCATTTTATT